ATGGCTCCAGTGTGAGCAGGGCACAGGGCAAAGAAGAATTAATTTAATTATAAAGTAACAGCTGTTTTTCTGTTCTGTATGGGCTACTGTATGAGCAAGGAGTTCTCGATTGAATTGTAAGGTAAATCTCAAGTAACAAGGCAGTTCCATCAGCACCCTAAAATGCTGCATGAGATAAACAAGCTCTGCAGCAGAAGAGGGAAATCTGTGACAATCACACTCTTCTGCTGTTCATATAATTTAAAACAGATATGGCTGCCCGAGAATAGCTTGGATAGTAAGGTAAATCACTAGTAACAGAAGGCAGTTCCATCAGCACCCTAAATTTCTGTACTGGTTGGGGGGGTCCCCTATGAGATAATCCTACATCCCCTTTATTCAAAACCAATATGGCCACTAGAGTTTCTGGAGTCTCTGCTCTCTTCCCCCCCCCCCGAAAAATCTAGAAAGTAACCATCCTTAGGAAAAAAAATCAGAGTGGAATTTACTGAATATTTGTACTTCATGTTCTGTTAGTCACCACTTTAGAAATATCTTAATTTTAGTGTGCTTTGTGGTTGAGAACATGCTTAAAAAATTGGGTGATGGCTGAGAGTTGTCATCAGGTTTTTTTAAGGTAGCAAGATACTTTAATGTGTTACACTTGCTGTGTCTGAGTGCTATTAAAAGTTTTTAGGTACTTTGGCATCCACAACAAAATACCAATCTGGTAATCTATTTCAGGAGTAAAATGTCTAGACCCTGGGACAAGAAAGAATATGTGTACCACTAATTGATCTTAAAATTTGTGGTAAGAATTAGTACCCTTACATAGCATGGTTATCTATGTTAGGGCTGGGAAGTCTAATCAAGGTGGCAAATGGGACACTAAAGATTTAAGGCCAAAAGTTTAATCTTGATGCCTTTCTGAATGGGGAGTGACCAACCCAACCACTGGTCTCAAAATTTATTGCCATTGCTCAGTGACCTTATAAATAGCCCATTTACTAATAAATAAATAAATACTATAACAGCCTTTTCCTCAATACCTGATTTTCAAAACAGTAAGTTTGACAAAGAAACACTGTCCTTCAGCAGGTGTTATAGACACTGTTTTGTCTACTGCTTTAAATTGATTTCCTTTAACACCTTTTTTTTCTTGAGGGTTTTATCCTACCTTTCCCAAAGGTTCCTAGTTGACTTTCTCTACAATTAACTGTTCAGTGAGAAAATCTGGAGCTGAAAAATTTAGAAGCCACACAAAGAAGAGTTCTCATATCCTTCTTGATGGAACTATGTGCCTGAACCTCCAGCATGCAATATTACAGAAGTGTTGCTGAGTGCAAGCTAAAAATGAGAAAATGATTAGGGGAGTCCTTATCGCATTTACAGCATCCCAGCATAACCTAGGGTTTTTTTTTTCTCCCTTGGTTTAGGTGCTAATATAATCAGAACCAAGTATGGTTTCATCACATATGTGGTGTTATGGAAGAAAAAAAATTGTGGGTGGTGAGCTCCCCTTCACGCTAGTAATTCTTGCATTGCCACATCACTCCTTGTTGCCTTAAACTGCCCTCTCTACCATCCCTATTACTCTGGGCCTAGTCTACTCTTAAGACCAATAAAATAAGATAAAATACAGCCTGGACAAACAAGAATCTCTGTTTAATATGTACTCTTGACTGTATAATGCCTGACAATGAACATTTGAAGCTTTATTTTATATGTAATCTGATATAGGGTACTTTCACTTGCTGTCATTTCCAGCTAGAATTTGCAATCAAGGATAGGCATTTGCCTTATTCTAATCTAAGTTACTGCAGAGTTAGTCATTTTTATTGGAAGAGGAGGATGCTTTTCCTCTTGCCTGATTCTTACCCTAGATAACCCTGTTGTTTTCACAGGTAGATAATCTTTGGACCTGGATGGCTCAGGCTAACACACTCTCTGAACCTAAACAAGGTCAGCCCTTGTTAGTTTTTGGATGGGAGACCTCCAAGGAATTCTCTGTTCATCTCTTGCCTTGAAATCCCTATGGGGTTACCAATAGCCAGCTGCGACTTGATGTCTCTTTACTTACCTAGTGATTAAAGTTTTGGAAAATAGCCCCATTTTTAAGCATTTTCGTAAGCATGAATAAAGACGGGTGCCAATGCCATGTCCTTTCCCCCCTCCAAAACAGTAGTTCTTTGGTAGTGATGGTAGGTAGGTGTATGTATACCTCTGTATTTAACACACATGGCATTCTGAACTACTCACCTGGCTGACTCCCAAACCCAGGCTTAGTCTGTGCTCCCTCCACACCTGATAAGGCTGCTGCTTACTTTGTCCTTGAAGCTGAGCTATCTAAGCTTGTGACTTGTTCCTACCAATGAAACTGGGGCAGCCTCCTAGGGGCCTGTACTGACAGGTTGAGTGCTGCTTTGCTGGTTGTCCTGAGGCTTTTCTTATCAGAACCAAGCTTGTGTGATTTCTGGTATCTACCTTAGTATCAAGCCCACACTCAACCTGTCTAGAATTAGGACAGACAGTCATGTTTTTTCCCTTCTATAAGATATAGTTTCTCAATCAGGGATGGCCACTAGGATGAATCTAATCCCTGTGACAATTCTAACTCCTGACATCCTACCCATTTTAATAAAGTTATGGAAAACTGCTCATAAGGAAATAAGAAATGCTGTAATTTCAAAAAACATTTTTATGTAACCCTGTTCTCAAGCGCATGTTCCCCATCTAGGGAGCCCTTACTGCTAGCTAGCAGCAGCTTTATAATTAGCCTCCAACTTGTGAGATGGACCGTTTGCAGCATAGTACATTTCCAGCCCCCTGCTCTGAAGAAATCCAGAGGAAGGAAGAATGCTATATATAAATAGTTAAGTAACAGCTCCAGAAAACTTAAGAACCAGGGGGTGAGAAACTAGAATCTGGGAGACCTGTGTTCAAATCCCCACTTTGTTAAACTCCTCAGGTGACCTTGGGCCACTCTCACACAGCCTTACCTATGTCACCAGGTTGCTGTGAGGTTAAAATGAGGAAGGGAGAAACATATATGCTGCCTTGAATTCCTTGGAGAAAGGGCAGTATAAAAACATACAACACAGACAAAACTGGCTGTTAAGGGATTATTAAGTAACTCCAGTGAGATTCAATTCACATAACAGATAAGGCTGCAAGAGAACTACCAGCAAAGGGGCTGACAAAAATGTGGAATGCCCCAGTAGGGCACTAAAAGATCACTTTGATGGGAACAATGAAAGATGTTTGATGGAGAGTATGCAGACTGAATATTCACAGAAATAAATAGATCCAATTAATCAAGTTATGGAAAACCCCATGAGAAAGTACCCAATATATCAACAAATCAAAGCAATAGGCCCAAACCTTTGTACTTAGACATTGTTACTTTCAAAAGCTAGTTTTTACAAAAGTGAATGAAAACTAAGCCACTCCTCATTTATGTGACCCACCGTAGCCTTAATAATAAAGGAAGCCTCAGCCTTCGATTTACAAGACCTCAACAAGGCTGTTAATGAACAAATTTAGAATCCAGTGGCACCTTTAAGACCAACAAAGGTTTATTAAAGGTATGAGCTTTCGTGTGCAAAGCTGTTAATGATAAGACATTCTGGAACTCCTTAATTCGTGGTGGTGGAAAGTGCTGGGAAGTCACAGCCAATTTGGGGCAATCCTATAGGGTTTTCAACGCAAGGGATGTTCAGAAATAGTTTGTCATTGCCTGCCTCTGCATTAGGTCCCAAGACTTTCTTGGTAGTTTCCCATCCAGATACTAACCAGGACCAACTCTGCTTAGCTCCCTGAGATCCAACGAGATCAGGCTGGCATAGACTATCCAGGTCATTAGAATTGACATAAATCAGAAGTGACTCAATGGAGCATAAGACACGCATAACTTTCGCATGCTCCCAGTGCCTCTGTATTTCAAGAACTCATCTTAGTTTTATGTACTGAAAACAGTGATATTCCAAACTAACACACCTTCTTTTAAAATTTTGTCATTATATCACTCACAAAAGTAGTGAGGTGTCTGACAAGAAACTTAAGCTTTCAAGCCGGAAATAAACCATACACCCTTTGTCTTCTAGCCAACACAGCAATACAGAAGCCAACGTGACATCTAAAATCCACAACGAATTATATTTGCTAGCTTGCCTTTACTATTTTTTATAAAATAATCTCTCAGTATTACCTCTTAACATGAAGGATCCACTAACAATTACATAAGGTCGAGGTACTAATTTGTTGTATCATGGCCAGAATCCCCTTTCAAAAACTTGCCTAGCTTCTTATAAAGCCCCGTATTTTAAGTTTATACCGGTCTTCACGGCTATGTCGTCTTTCATAAAAATAAACGATTGCTCAGGACCAGGGAAAGATGCTGATCCATCAGTTTGCGGGCCAGAGAAGTAAGCTTTTAATTAAAATATGCTTTTCAAAGTCAATAGTTTATTGAACATTTTCATATTCAAAAGCATTTAAACCGTCTTAATGCCACTAGTTTTCACTTTAAATAAAACTGGACAGATTTAAGTTCCGCGTTTGGGGGGGGGGGAAAGAAATTTGGGAGGCGGGAGGTGCCCCGAGAAGCGCCTGTGGAGAAGCCACCCCAAAATGCCGGGGATTTTCCAGGCCTAAACAACTCTCCGCTCACCGGCGCCGAGTTGAACAAGTCTGAGCCCGAAGCAGAATTTTACGGCCAAGCTGGAACGGAGGAGGCGGCGGCAGGAGCGGCAGCGGCAGCGGGAGGGGCTGGCAGGGACCCACCGCCCTTCCTCTTCAATCTCCCGTCCCCGGCCCGGTTCGCTCTCCGCCCGGCGGGCTTGTGGCCTGAGGAGCAGGCGGCTCCAGCAGCAGCAGCGCCGGTATCTTCCTTCCGCATTTCCCTGGGTCTCTCTCGGGCAAGTGACGTGACGTACTGACGGCGGCCCGGCCCGGAGAGCTTGGCCGCTTCCACTCAGCTCGGAGCTTGGCCCCTCCCTCCCCTCCGCTCCCGCCTGCCCGCCGCAGCGACACTACCATCGAGCTCGGCCCAGCTACGTGAAGAGAGGCTGCCCAGAGTCCGTCGCCGCCCCGTCCGGTAAGCAGCGCGGGACAGGCCCTAGCTAGGCCTTCACCCCCACGCAGAACCAGGCCTCGGCGCCCGCCGCGATACAGGCCCTGAGAAGGCCGCAGCTAGGCCGCGCCAGGGCTGCATCCTGCAGGAGTGGGCCGTAGGGCCCGGCTGGAAGGCCTGGGCACTTGTTGCTCAGCTTCGAGGACGGGGCCAGGTGCAGGGCTAATGTGAGGTGGACGGGGACAGAGGCCGGGGCCAGGTGGAGGGAATGACGGGGCTAGGCCTGAGTCGGAACGAAAAAGTCTGGGAGGAGGAGACAAGATGGCGGCGGTAAGAGAGGCTGGGGGAGGTTGCCGGCCGCCATCTTGAATTAATCGCTTCTGGCCCCAGACGGTCCCCATAGCGGGCAGGGCGGTGACGGCGCCAGTAGGGGAGGCTCGCCCCTCCCCTCCTTTCCTGTTCTGTGCCCAGTTGTCCTGCTTGGCTCCTCCTGGGCTCGATACACGACAGTCCACCCTGTGTTTTCTTCATTGGTGACGCTGTGGCGTGCACAGCAGCTGAGAGACGTTTTCTGACCTTCCTAACTCTCATCATGCCTTCCGGTCCCGAGCTGTTAATTATGGCTCGACTCCGCAGGGCAGGAGCTATACACACAACCGAACCCAGATGTCCGCACGCACGGTGCCAGGTTGAATTCCTCACGTGCCAGAGTTTGTCAAGATGACGCTTAACGGTGAAGCATAAATAGTACTTCGTGACGAGTTTTCTGTCGGTGACATGGGGGTGGGTGGGCCGGGCCAGTTATTTCGATAAAGATTTGGGTAATTGGCTCACTTACTGGAAAGGGCATTGGCCCTTTTTACAGGACAGAGCTTGCACATCACTAGAACTTGAGTTCAGAATCTTCTAGGAAAGGGTTAGTTCGTTTTCCCAGATTTGGCACACGCAATTGTGAAGAAAAAATAACTTTCTTCAGGTAATCCACAGTGGAGCCCCTAGGAACTTTATTCACAGATACCAGTCAGTGTGTCATGGGGTATGCAGCTAGATACTGTCACGGTCTCCTTTTGTATTTCTTATTGTCATGAACAGGGTAAGTATATTTGAAACCCCATACTGAAAACACTAAGTGTTCTTGTATAAAGCAGTAGTAACTGAAAAGCCAGTGGCTGGGTCCTGTCAGCTTTTCTGCTCAGTCTCATCCAGTTCTCACAAGCAAGGTTCTAACTCTGTTCCACTGGGCTTTTGTTCACATGAGTCCCATGATCTTTGGCATAGTCTTTTTTTGGTGACCAAAAAGAGTTGTTCCTTCCTCTTCTGTCAATGAGAAAGCTGCTACAGCATTCAGCCAATTCGGGTGAGGAGGAGGGGGGTTGTATAGATACTATTTTTCAAGTTTAAGAGGCAATGAAAAAGGAGTGCTAACATTCAAAACTTATTTTGTAATATATTTTCCAATAGTCTTCTGGTAACCCTATGTCACATCCATCCTGGTCACACCCAGGCCTGGAGTCCAATCCAGTGATTTTGTGGAACAAAATATTTCAGCATACTAAGGCAGCAAATATTTCATTTCTTATTTTTATTCTTACTTTAAAAGTTAGGGGAAATGCACAACTATTCTTGGGAATGTATCCTGAATATCTTGTTAATAGGTGTTAGCATTTCTGAACTCAATAGCAATACCAGAACAAATCTAAAGGTTTTAACTGTTCACAGTCTTTAATCTACTTACAGCTTGCTTACGTGTGTGTTGAAAAGCAAAACAGTTGTAAAGAGTGGTATCTTAAAGACTCCACAGATTAATGTGACTTTCGTGGACTGGTGAACTTTATCAGATGCATGAAATGTAACTTCAGTTTGGTACAGGAAAAAATATCAACGGTAGATTCACCGAGGAAACGGGGAGCCAAAAGTTATAGTTTCATTTGCCTTTAATTGCTGTTTGACCACTTTGTTCATAAACGAGGGCATGATTTTGAGACAATCACAATTTCTGTTTGCCCCTAAGCAGTGGCCCTTCCTCTGTAGCAAGTGCACCAGAAAGCTCTACTTTTGATGCTTATGGTTCTTTGGCTGCATAATTTTGTATTATTCTTGCAGCTACCACTTGTCCACCTCAAAACAAAGCAGACGCCTCAAAAAAACAGTCTTTTCATCATCTTCTTTTCCTGCTTTCCTGACCTGTTCGGCTCACAACTTAGTTGTAAAAGCTTCTTGAAGCCACAGAAAGGATCTGTCAAAGGATGGAGATGATTTTTTAAGCCTTAAGGCAGGTAGGCCCTACTGACTCTTGTGGTGCATACTGCTCTGGTGATAGAGCTCCAGATCTGAACCTGGCTCCCAAATGGTGCCAAAAGTTTTTTGGTGACAAAAGAACAGTGCAGAGGGTCAGCAGGCAGTGTGGAGAATGGATAGTAAGCCACTGGGTCCCCAAGCCTCCAAGGTAGATTGGGAGGACTCCTCAACTCAGTCCCTTCTCTCTTCACAAATCAGATGATACAGATATTTCACTGGGAGATAAAAGGTGGCTGAATCATTCTTTGTTGTGAGAGCCCAAAGGGATAAGGAGAGGAGAAAAGAATTAAAAAGGACAAAAGCATATTCTATGGTCATTATTTTAAAATTCCACACTATACTTCTCAGTGATCCTCCAGTAGTTAGCTCCAATAGCACCTTGTTGGACGCTCTACACAAGCAGCCATGGCCTCCTTGCACCCAACAAACGCAGTGTGGAACCAGAGTTGGCAGCTGCTTCCTGTCAGTTCACTTATAGATCAGAACTTTCAATGACCAACCCTAATGGTTAGGAGAGCAACTCAGACAGAGAGGATGGGTAAACCTTGGATGAAGAACTCTTTTCCGCAAGATAGAATACAAGGCTTTTTTTCTCAGGCAGTCCCCCCTCCCCTGCTCCTGGTAATGCTGTGAGAAGGTTGAAGCATATGGTATTAAATGAGAGAACTCTGTAAGAAGGGATAGCTAAAGGAGACCTAGGCAATGACCTTTGGCCCCTTTGTTCACAATCTTTTCTCTGTCTTGAGTACATATCTGTTTACTAAAGTCTTGGGTACCTTAAACTAAAGGTAAAGGTAAAGGTTCCCTTGCTCGAAAGCCAGTCGAGTCTGACTCTAGGGTTGCGGTGCTCATCTCCGTTTCAAAGCCGAAGAGCCAGCGCTGTCCGAAGACGTTTCCGTGGTCATGTGGCCGGCATGACTAAACACCAAGGCGCACGGAACGCTGTTACCTTCCCACCAAAGTGGTACCTATTGATCTACTTGCAATTTCTTGCTTTCGAGCTGCTAGGTTGGCAGGAGCTGGAACTAGAGACGGGAGCTCACTCTGTCATGCGGCAACCCGGGTCTCGAACTGCTGAACTACTGACCTTCCACAGCCTGCAGTTCAGCATCTTATCCACTTGAGCCACCGCAGCTCCACCTTAAACTACATATGTTTATATTCTTAACCATAAGTAAAGGTAAAGGTTCCCTTGCTCGAAAGCCAGTCAAATCCGACTCTAGGGTTGCGGTGCTCATCTCTGTTTCAAAGCAGAAGAGCCAGCGCTGTCCGAAGATGTTTCCGTGGTCATGTGGCCGGCATGACTAGACGCCAAGGCGCACAGAACGCTGTTACTTTCCCACCGAAGTGGTACCTATTTATCTACTTGCAATTTCTTGCTTTCGAACTGCTAGGTTGACAGGAGCTGGAACTAGAGATGGGAGCTCACTCCGTCATGCGGCACACTCGGGTTTCGAACTGCTGAACTACCTACCTTCCACAGCCTGCAGTTCAGCGTCTTAACCACTTGAGCCACCGCAGCTCCTTTTCTTAACCATAGCTAAGAGTAAATTTTATAATGTATTTGAGAAATGTACCCTGGCTTTTGGTACCTAAGCCCAAGGTGGTTTAAAAAACCAAACTGAAAAGCTATGTATGTTTTTGAGTTCCTGCAGTAGAGTATAATGCTATATGGAACTGACATTACAAACAAATGAAAAAGCATTTTATTGTTAACAGGTAGCTGGAAGCTTGTGAGCCCCTGAAGAGGGAAGTGCTGGAACAGAAGTGTCCTGCCTTTGCACAGCTTTGTTCTTCTTACTGGCTGTAACAAGCACGAAGGGGGTTTGAATGCATTGCTTGCCCCTCACATCTTTAGTTGACAGAGGGGGAGAGATTTGGGGTTTGTTAGTTTTAAACTGAAAACGTTTTTAACTATTGTAAACTGCCTTGAACCAGGTGGAAAAGCAGGGAATATATGTTTAAATAAATAAACAAACTACTTTGCAGCTGAGGGGAAAATGCAAGCCCCGAGGAGTTGTTGTTCCTCAACAGTATGCTCCTTTTTCTTTCAAAGATTTTGAACCTTGATGAACTGCTGAATTAAATATAGAGGTTACACTTAGATACAGAATGCTGATAATTAGTTGATAGCTGTCTTTGTTTTAATTTTACAGACTTTGTGACTGATGAAAGTTAAAGACCATGGATGAAGATGGGCTTGAACTACAACCACATGATCCACATGCATTTTTTGATCCAACAGGTATGTCAAGAAATATCACATAACATAATCAGTGACAGGCTATGTATCTTCACTATAGGGCAGCAAGATAGATTGTTATTATTTTAAATGATTTTAATTCAGAAAGGTGGATACAACCCACTTTACGATTTACATTCTATCATGAGAAAAATATCTTGAATGTAAAAATATGTTGCCATCCTCTATGCACTGTACAGTGTTCTTTCCCCATAGTAATGTGGCAGATTAATACATTTCTTTGTTAAAGCAATACACAGTTTTAGATACAAAGCTTCCATCCAAGATACATGTGTTTTTGCAGATGGTTGTTTAAAGGCAAATTACAAAATATTGGGGAAAACCATGACAATGGAAACTCTGGATTACCAGATTTAGGTGTAAATCTAGCAATTCTCAATTTATCTAAAACAGCTCACTTTAGGTTACCAATCCCATTTCCCCTCCTTCCGCGCCCCTTATAAAAGCAACTGACTTTCTTCTGTCAGTTCCAGGACCATTAAATCCTCCCTGACTGTTCCCCGCACAAAATAATTGGTTGTGGATGAATAATAATTGCAACATAAGATGGCAGTAAAGTTTATAACCATTCTGAGTTTATCACATGAAATTTAAATTCTTGCATGGGTTAAATGGGGGGAAAGGGTAGTAGTATTCAGGTTTTAATGTTGTGCAGTGTGCTAAACAATAGCCTCTTTAGCCCCTGGTAAATCTTCTGGAGAAGATCTGATTCCCCCAAATGTATATAAAGCTTTTCCAGACTGATGGCCCCCGTATTGGCTGGAGTTTTTTCACAAATTAATGCCGCATTCCTTCCGGATGGAAATTAAGCATTATTGCCCCTATACATAGAAAAGAGGTTAAATCTGGTCCACAGAATTACAGACCAGTAAGCTTGCCTGATATAGTGGCTAAGCTATATAGTAAATATCTGGTGTCTAGATTAGAAGGCTGGGTATCTGAAAAGCAAATTATTCACTCTGTCCAAGCAAGATTTAGGAAAGGATTAAGGACCATTGATCATTGCCAAACACTTTATCAACTGGCTTTTTCAGGTATACATGGCCCTCTGAAGACTATGTAGCGTTTGTTGACTTGGCCGCCGCTTTTGATTCTATTAATATGACCTGATTGTGGTCAAAGCTGACAGACGTTAACATCAATAATAGACTATTATTCTTGCTTCGAGACCTACATAAAGATACCCACACCCAAGTCAAAGTAGGAACTTCTGGCTCTTTAACTGACAGAATTCCTGTCTGGAAGGACGTGAACCAGGGATGTGTGTTGGCTCCCCTACTATTTAATCTGTATATTAATAACATAGTTGGGAGCCTGTCAGGTCCTCGTTTTGTTCCTTCCTCATTGGGTCATCAAAAATTTCAATTCTGTTATACGCAGATGACATAGTCTTAATTTCTGTCACAAAAATTGGTCTGGGAAGGCTGTTGCACCAACTATGGCTATATTGTAAAGAAGTTCTCACCATTAACTTTAAAAAGACCAAAGTAATAGTTTTTAGAAAAAGGGCAAAACTTTCTCCTTGGAGTATTTTGGACAATCCAATTAAACAATGTAGTTTATTTAAATACCTTAGTGTAACATTTAGAGAGACTCTAAATTGGACCACCTATATGGCAATGGTTAAATCATCAGCACTAAGAATTGTTTATCTCGAGCTTTTATTATTCTAAGGGTGGGCATCTTATAGATCCTGCTCTGAAACTATACAAGAACAAGGTTATACCGCATCTCCTATATGGAGTCAAAGTGTGGGGATGGAATGACGACAACCTGGACAGTCTTGAAGTAATTCAGAAGAACCAGTTCTTAAGGTGCATGCTAACCAAGGGGTCTCCAGCTGCTTTGATGAGAGCTGAAGCTGGTATGCCCTCTCTCAGGGCTCAGGCACATTAAACAATGATAAAATATTGGGAAAGAATTGAAAACTTAAGATCTAACTTGCTCAGTCAACAATCTTTCCATTTGTTGTTTATTCAAAGATCCGCAGCACCTTGTGTGTCTCAACAGCATACTCTCAAGATACTCCATCCCCGATGATCTTCTAGGAACATCAGTAGATCAATTCCCAACTTAGAAACTGGATCTATGTCTTTGATGCATGGATCAACCATTCCTTAATATTAAAATCAAAAGCAGCAGCATCTCTAACTATTTACTTAGAGTGACGTTTACTTTCTTATGCTTTCAATCACTAGCACCGGCACTTTTGGAGGGTCGCTTTAATCAAATTCCGGTGGCCTAACTCATATTTATGGATCCAATGCACTTGAGGACTTTCATTACATCCTCTTTTTTTTTTTTTTTGTCTGTTACATTCCAATCCCAAAGCCAAATTTTTGGCAGAAATTTTATCTGGTTTAAGTTTATACCCCGTCACTGAGAAAATTTCATTTTTGCTATCTGATATTGATGTGTATGTGTCATATAGAGTTTCATTATTTGCCCTGCTGCAAAGGAAATAAAGTCGAAAGTGGCAGAGGGGATGTAACTTAGGTACTTATTCTTGCTACTATTGTTATTGCACTGAATTTGTAGTTGTATTTGCTTACTGACTTATGGTTCTACATGGTATTTTTGTTTATTTGCTGATTTATACTTTGTATACAATCTGTATTCTTCTCTGTTGAGTGTTTTGTAAACTTGTAAGGGCCAATGGCTATTTACAATAAACTGAACTGAACTGGTGTGCTAAACAAATTAAAGCTATCCCTGTACTGATAAATAAATATTAAGGATTTTTATGAAATTTTGGGCTATGCTGGTACAGTAATTTTTGTTACTTTTGTGTATTTCAGGAGCTGATGGAACACATCTGAATGGAGATGAAATTGTAGTAGAAATACAGGAAACTGTATATGTGTCAGATGTGGAGGATTCTGACATAACTGTTCATAACTTTGTCCCTGATGATCCAGATTCTGTAGTTATCCAAGATGTCGTTGAGGACGTTGTTATTGAAGATGTTCACTGTCCAGATATCATGGAAGATACAGATGTATCTCAAACTGTTATTATACCTGAACCAGTGCTGGACACTGATGTCACTGAAGAAGTGTCTTTAGCACACTGCACTGTTCCTGATGAAGTTTTATCCTCTGAGATCACAGCAACAGCAATGTCAGTACCAGAGCATGTACTTACTAGTGAGTCAATGCACATACCTGAAGTTGGACATATGGAACATGTAGTTCATGATCATAATAATGTTGTAGAAGCAGAAATTGTTGCAGATTCTCTGGAAGAGGATGTAGTTTCAGAAGTATTAGTAGCAGACTGTGCCTCTGAAGCTGTAATTGATGCCAGTGGAATACCTGTGGGACATGATGATGACAAGGGCAACTGTGAAGATTATCTCATGATTTCCTGTAAGTCTCTGGATAAAGTATTTTTAAAATGACAGTTTTATTTACAAATGTCTTAATTCAAACTTTCACTTATTCTGTTTTACAGTTTCATCCTATGCATGTTTGCTTGAAATAAGTTGCTCTGAGTTCAATAACGTCTGCTTCCAATGAAGTGTGTATATTGGATTGGAGCTGCACAGCCTTTCCCTATGCATATTTATTTGGAGGTAAGTTCCACTGTGTTCAGTGGGGCTCACTTCCCAGTAAATCTGCTTAAAATTGCATCCTTTTGAGGTTTTAGTGATGCTAAATGACGAGTTGAAGTAATTTCTGGCAGAGAAGGCGTTTGATGGATCCAAGGTGGCAGCCTTCATGGTGCTTTAGAAACATAGCATATTTATTATGGTTGACGAAGGTTTCAGTTTCTCAAGAAAGTGAAAGCATCCAGCACAGGGTGGATTTGACTGAAATCAAACTGATTTTAAATCACTAGCCAGCAAGACTCAATTTAAACCATAGTTTTCTGTATAGCGGCTCATTCTTGATTGTTGTTTTAACCTTAATATTTACAACCCATATGAAGGTTTCATTTTTAAAATAATAACCTTTCAGGTTAGTTTTACAGTTATATCAGAAAATTATTGCTTTGGTTATTTACTATTTGAAATATATAATTATGAAGTCATTGTGAGACGAACTATCTCCAGTTTAATAGGTTAATCACTCATATTTGGACAACTTTTCTGCTGTTCCTTATCAGAAGGGAAAAAATAGTCATTAATAATATTTATTTATTAGATTTTTTAGTTGCCACTCATTTGAAGGGTCTCGTGGCAACTTACAACATTAAAACCAATCAAGTAAAAAAATCCATAAAAACAAATAACAAATATAAAATGTTAACATTAAAATATTAAAATATGTAGCTATCACCATACCAATATTAAAACAGCCCGAACATGTGGTTACCCTCCAAAGGCCAACCTAAACAATTCAGCTTTGTATGCCCTACAGAAACTAAATAAGTCCGGCAGGGCACGGGTGTCATCCGAGAGTGCATTCCACAGGGTAGGGGCCACCACTGATAAGACCCTTCCACAGGTGACACATAACTGAGCCTCCCTGAGGCCAGGCACCTGCAAGAAGCCCCTAGACAAAGACTGAAGGGAGTGCGGGGGGTTGTGAGAGGTAGTCACAGGGGAGTGAGGGTCCCAGACCATTTATTACACCACCACCACCACCAGTGTGGTATACTGGTTAAGAGTGGTGGACTCTAGTCTGGAGAACCGGGTTTGATTCCCCACTCCTCCACATGAAGCTTGCTGGGTGACCTTGGGCCAGTCACAGTTCCCTCAGAATTCTCTCAGCTACACCAACTTCTCAAGGTGCCTGTCGTGGGGAGAGGAAGCGAAAGAGATTGTAAGCCACTTTGAGACCCCTTAAGGTAGAGAAAACTGGGTATAAAAACCTACTCCTCCTCATTATTATGATTATTATTATTAAACTAATTACAATAACATATATGTATTCTTGTATCTGCTTAAACATCGATGAGGCTACATTTACAAAGATCTCAAGACTTCGGAAATATTATGCTTAAAAAGTTTCACTTTTCATTTGTATTGCTTGCTCCTCCCTCATCACAATTAACATCTTTTCCTTATCCATATCTATTCCACACCATTGAACTTCTTGAAACTTAGCACTTAGGAGATAAGGGGTTGATTGTGTGTACATAGATTTGCATGTAGGATTGAGGTCTCTTTCTCAACTCTGTATTTATTTGAAAACATTTTTGCTGTTAAGAAGAGGCATATTATCTTTCAGACACAAATTCACATTTTTGAGAACTGCAAAACCAAGCATTTGTGATGGCGTCTTCTAGATAGAAAAATTACCCAAAATAATCTTAAAGAAACCTCTGGGAGGCCCTGACCTGGATGATAATAATAATAATAATAATGCTTTCGATTTATTGATCGCTCTTTCCCACATACCTGCGGGCTCAGAGCGATTTACAGTTACTCTTGAGACAGTTGGACTAACAATATTTGTGGGGATAGGGAAGACAAACATACAGCATTAATTACACACACACTGCAGCTAGCCGGGCTTCATCTGCGGGCTGGGTCAGTCGTGTTCCTACGGCATCTTGTCGGCTGGCTGATGACGTCTGGCTTCTTGATGTTGTGCAGCCACACACCGCCCAATCTCATCAAATCTCAGAAGCTAAGCAGGGTTGACTGGCAAGTACTTGAATGGGAAACCTTGAAATACCAGAGGCAGAGGCAGGCCTCATTCAGCTGCCTCTCTGAATATCCTCCAGGCCCCCAGCAGGGGTCAGTAACCAGAGGTCACCATGACTTCCAGGTGGACACACAGTCATGCGCACACACGTATATATAAAAAAATACAAAAAAAGTGAGAGAAACCTCTGGGAGACCATGACATTGAAGGAATAATAGAATTCATTTATATATTTTTTAAACTTCATGTGAATATACAGTCTCATACTACATAATTTAAAATTAATCCATATTTCATGATTAAAGCTCTTTGGGATATAATGTATCTTAAATACAAAGCAATCTTTAGGTAGTTTTTGCTCAAAAAGCATTTTATCTTTTAAAAAATCTGAGTTTTAATTAAAAAAAAAATCATTGATTTTTATCCACCCTGATTCAGCCACAGAACTTACAGTGGACTCCAGGAAGCAAGAGGAGGAGGATTGGGCGGGTAAGAGGAGCAGGGAAAGGGCATCTATTTCCTGAAGGCAGAAGTACATAAAAACAAGTATTTATTATATTATCATTATGCGTAATACTTTGTGCATACGTGTTAAACGTTAGTTTTAAAATTTAGTTTTAGTTATCAGTAATGCTGACAAAGATCGTGTGGAATGCTGTAGTCTGTTTCTCATTTTACGGCACAAGTATTGGAATGTGCCATCACAGAAAGAGCTATGATGGGGTTCCGTGAAGTGTAGTAGCAGCACATTGTTGTGAGTTGACATTATGTCACTGCGTCATTGTGGTTTGGTAATAATATGCTGGCAGTAGCCAACATTTCAGAAATGTTATAGCAGTAGCACTCAAAGCTACCTAAAGGTGCAAAAGGTATATGGATGGAATCATTAAGATGTGCTGTGGGAGAACTCCTTCATAATCATCAAACCATTTAGAGCCCCATGAGTTATCTGGGTCAGTGCAACACTATGCACTTAGTATTTAGGACTAATATTTCATAACAGAATTGCAACTGACAAGTAGTATAGGACAGAAACATTAGTCTAAATGAGAGCTGTGGGTTCATTAAGAAAAGAACTTTGTACACTTCCAAAGCTATGTGTATCTATACAGTGAAGGGTGATGGTAGTCAGTTATTTCCTCTTAGTAATATATAGATTTTTCCGTATCTGGATTCCCATATAATAATGTTTTCTAAATTCTTACTTCTATCTAAAATGGTCTTGTTTTGTAACAGAATGCATATTCTGTATAATTTGATGTGACAGCACGCACTAGAGTTTATATTCAGTGAATCCCTATTCATATTTTACTTTAAGGTTCCCAAACTAGTTCTACAAGATTTTTGAGCCAAGAGGTTATTGCTTCATTTGGAGTAGTTTAATCCAGCCAATAACTGCTTTGCAGGGGAATATAAAATCTCACCTTTTTAAATGATTTGTGTGTCTTTTAAAATAATATAATGCATATATATATTTGTTTGACACTTCAATTAAAATTTGGTTTCAGATAATGTATGGCAGTGCACTGACACTATAATACAAGTGCAATCTGGTATTGGTAAAATGGGGAATGGAGGCTGATGAGGCAAGTGTAGAGCTTGCCTAATATGGAATGCTACTTCAACTGTTGTGGCAGCAACAGAGATGTGCGCCACTGCAGATACAACTCTAGATCAGGTTGGGCTGCCTGTATTTTGCATTTTCCTTGTCTATTACATAAGGCAACTAAGATGGTTTGACATGATTTATTTGTAACAAATCCTCATTAGTCATTAGTAATGCTTACAGGTTAATTGCCTTATAATTTGCTACTATCTTGTCATGTACTGAAGATGTGTTTTATCCTTTTATTGATGCTGGATTCAGGGTTTTCTCCCACTCTAACCCCTGCCCACTTGCAGAACTCATTTGCGTGAATGGGGACAGATCTAGGAGGATAAAACTGTTTTCATTAGTAGATGACCCTTTCTAGATTAGGGCAATTGGTTTTACACTCACTTTTCTCAGTTTAAGGGTAATTTGGTACTAAGATTACTAATTGTGCCAGCTGCCCCCATCACCCAGAAGAGGTTTGTTTGGCCATACATTTTCACTTTCCGTTCTGGAGAGCCAAGGTATTCATATTACGTCATCAGGAAAATAATATCTAGATTTTTTTCAGCTGAAGCGAGATCTCTGTATGCATCTGGAGTCCTCAGCACATAGCCCATGGACCACATGCAGCCCAGCAAAGAGTTGCTCTACTGATCCCTTCTTTAGTTCTTCACCTGGAAAGTCTCTTGTCACATTCATGCTGGAACCTGGCAGGAGGCTTCCTGGGTGGGAGAATAAGAACATGGAGTTCAGCTAGGAGTCTTTATTTTGATCTTTCCCTCCTCAGGTTCCTTGCAAGCTCTCTGCTGTGCTTGCAAATGCAAGAAATTACTCCGCTGGATCCCAGGGGCTTGCGAACACAAGCCTCTGTAATGCAATGAAGAAATTGGGAGGATGGGAGAACACTGTTTAGCCTTGAGAATGAATATCTGAGAGCCAGTATTCTAACCACCACCGCCCCCCAGGTTACACAGAGCGTAATGGAGCTAGGTGCCATCACAAGACGGCCCACTTAGCTCCCAGGCTAGGTCCCTTGCAACCCATCTGTTTGAGTTGTGCACCTCTTTGTGGAGCACAAGAGATAAGCAACTTACTGTTGAAGCCAATGCAGAATTACTCCAGTCTAAGACCATTGATTTTAATGCGAATGTACAATTAGGAGAGGTTAAGAAACAGGCTGAGAAATTATGCCTGATTTCTCCATACTCATCTGTTTTGCATGTAATTTTCCCTCCTGCCTTGTTTCTCTCTCTCTAGTTTGGCTTCATATCACATATCTGGGTAACTCTGAACAGTAGATTAGGAATGATTTCTGTTTTAAGATTCATGCATGTTGCTCAGAGAATTTTTAGTTTAATTCACTCTTTGTGCTGTCTGACATATTGAATCTCTTTATTCAGTATGATAATTGTTCCAGGATAAATCACAACAAAACTCACATTTTATTATTAGGGAGGTATTGAATCCAAATGGTGGGGGGAGGTGTTTTCACCAGTTCCCTGTTCCCACTGCAGAACCCGCCTCCCCCACTAAAACCAGCACTGTTCCATGGAGTCATCTGACACCCAGAGATGGATTTCCAGGCATATGGTAGGCTGCAAATAGAGCTCTACCTGCTGTAGATCAGATCTAGGTGTATCCATAGTTTTGTTAATTTCTGGATTAGCTGTCAGTATCTACCTTCCAACTTCGCAATACCAGGAGATAATTAGGACGAATATTTTATTTCAGTGAGACAATGCAGGAGAGTATTTGCATTTTTTAATTTACATTCTTACTTGATTAAAAAAAACCCCTTTTACTAGTTTGTTATCTCTTATTAGGACAGTTTCTAATATGTCTTCCATGGTTAGATTTACATAATTTTGTTGTAATTTTCAATATTTCAAGGATTGAAATGTTAAACTTCAGTTTTAATACAGTCTGTTTATGGTGAGTTTACTGTTTTGTGTGTTGTTGTTTTTCCCTGTAGTGGATGATGCTGTCAAGACAGAAAATGAGAGTTCTGGGGAAATAACTATAAAAGCTGAGTCAGACAGTGATCCTTGTAAAATGGATGGTATTTGTCCAGAAGTCATCAAAGTCTATATTTTCAAAGCTGATCCTGGAGAAGATGATTTGGGTAAGGGAGTTACAATTTTAGAAAGAAACATAAAAGTCTTAATCTTGGGATTGCCAAAAGAAAGTCCTTGGGCCAGTTATGGCTCCAGGCCTGTAGCTACAGTGGGGCCTCTCTGGGCCCAGCCCCCTGACTTACCATCAAGGCCCTACAACTTACCATCGAGCCCAGGCCCCCTGACACAGACCCATTGTTTGCTCAGGTCCTCAGCCGGCAGCCCCTCTCCTGCTCAAGCCTGGATTAGAAGGTGTTCTGGTGCACTCCGGCCCTGCCTCTCCGGTCCTTCTAGACCTCAACTCTGAGAGGCATCAGCCCCATGGAGCTCTTGGTCCTCTGCCCAGCCCAGCTACCTCTCCCAGGCCTTATTGCAGCTTACCTTTCTCGAGAGTCGCCTAGATCTGGCCTGTGTGTAAGCCTCCATTATCTTGCTGCAGGCCTGTGGCCAGTTCCAGGCACACCCAGGAGTTGGGAATGGGGGCAGGGACCTGGCACACAGAGCTAGGGGCAGCTCTGGCCAACGGAACTGGGGGGGGGTTACTGCTCAGCCCCCCAGCTGTGAAAAGGCCTTCAATGGCTCTCGGGAGGGGAGTGTCTCTCCCAGCTCCTTCTCCTCCTTGCCAAGGGCCAAATCCAGACTGCCCTCATGCAGAACAGGAGACCCCCACCACCACGTTCTGAAGCCACCAGTGGTCTTCGGAAAGTAGGCGCTGGCTTTGGTTGAGCCCTTTGGCCAAAGGGCACGTCTCACAATCCCCCCCCCCTTCCAGGGCCATTTAGTGGGGAAGGGTCTCCTCAGGTGTTGTGTTGCTCGCAGCTGTTGTCGGAACCACGTCCGGGGGGGCAGGGGAGGTCTTTACCACACCCCACAGGTGCCAATCCGGGACTGGGAAGTCTAATGAGGGCCTCGCGGAGTTGCCCCCACCCCAGGTCCCAAACAGCCTTCTCCCATCAAAGACCCACACACACACAGACACTTGGGGGGGGTGCACAGGGGTGCCCCCTGACTTATTTAAAGGCCCCCCGAAATTTAAAAAAAACCCCAGCTATGGACCTGTATGATTCTCTATTGTCCCACGGTTGCTGCCTATTTTTGCCTGCAGAACCTGTTGGCAAGATGGTTTAGAGCACTGGCCCCCAACATGGCACCTGCCAGCACCTTTCTAGGTGCCTGCCGAGTGTTTTTAGAAAGTGGGTGGGTCCAGGTGGGGCTTTTGCTTAGCAAGGCTTCTAATTACCAAAGTGAGATTTGATTGCCTGGGCAAATGTCGCTTTGGCAAGTACCTACCACCACAGCACAGAGATCTTCACTATGGAACTGAAGGTAAGCTGTGGCAGTCATTTTATAGATGGCTCCATCTCCTGTGGCAGCCATCATGCTGTGTCAGAATTCCAAAGGTACCTGCAAGCTCAAAAAGTTTGGGGACCCCTGGTTTAGAGTGTGGTGGTTAAGATACTAGCCAGCTATCCCTCATGTTCTTTTCCAAGTAGCTGTCCAAGAGATCAAAAATTAGTAGAAACATGCTCTCACAAAATACTTTCTCTAACTTTTTTTTTAAACACTTAGGAGGCACAGTAGACATTATGGAAAGTGAATCCGAAAATGACCATGGGGAGACATTAATTAATCAAAATAGCAGTGTTCGTATTCCAAGGGAAAAAATGGTTTATATGACAGTAAATGATTCTCAGCATGAAGATGAAGATTTAAGTAAGTATGTGGCCTTTATTTTGAGGTAGAGGATTGTTTACAGTGAGGTAATATTTGAATTACATCTAGTTTCTTCTTCTCTTAGATGTTGCAGAAATTGCTGATGAGGTCTATATGGAAGTCATTGTAGGAGAGGAGGATGCTGCAGCTGCTCATGAGCAGCAAATTGATGACAGTGAAATTAAAAGCTTTATGCCAATTGCTTGGGCAGCAGCCTATGGTAGGTCATAAAATCCAAATTTATCCTAAGATTCCAGTTGATAGTAAAATGATTTATACAGAAACAATAAAACAATATGATCGCTGGTGTTGTAAATTCTGAAGATCGAAGAACACTGGCATCTCTGACCCAGAATAACTATTAAAACAAGTCTGCTGGATTTTTCTTTTCTTGTGTAATGTTAAAGTGTTGGTAATCGCTTCCATCTGAAAATTGCAACTTGAGGATTTTTGGCACCTGATAATATCTTTTTGGAGAAACTAATGGAGTCTTCTCTTGGATGGAGTGTGCTCAATATTTTCTGCTGCAATTTGTATACAGAAATACATAGAAGTCATTTGCATTCCAGAAGAAATTATATCAGTTTTATTATTGCAGTTTACAATAGAATAAAAATAAAATTATGATGGTTATATAATCCTAAACCATAGGCATTCTGAAGTGCACCTGTAGTATTGAAAGAGAAAACAAGGCATCCGTTTCTCAAAGGCAGCTGCCATGGGACCTTCTAAACACTATTCCTGCAAGGCTGTTCCTATTTTTAAAAAAGCAAATGAATGATGACAAGGGTGGTCACTGTTCTCAAAAAAGAATCTGAATCAGGAATTATGCTGCTGTAATTTTTGGCACTTAGGCAGTATATTTTATTGAGAATTTTAAGCAATAACAATAAAAATACTGAAGCATCACTATTCCTGTAATTTTGGCATTTTACTACTTGCCTTAGATCTGTTTTTCATGCACATTCAGTTTGCACCCATTACTTTTTCTCCCTTCCCGTAGGAGAGCAAAGACTCACATAATCAGTCCTAGCCACATTGCTGCCATAGTTATGCACACTTTCCAGTGTTGTCTGATCAGACCAGAGGAAATGGCGTCCATGCCACTGGGGAGCATGTGTGACGCTTTCAGGCATGTAGGTTGATAGTTGACGGCTAGTAGTTGTCCTTCTTCCCAGGGTGTGGAAGTTGGCTTTGAAAGACTAGGTTATCAAACCAGTTCATATCATCATGATATTTCCACACATTCAGCAGTGACATTGGACGTGAACATTGGATCACACCACATGGAAGTGGCTTCCCTGCTGCTGTATGTATGTGAAGGGGCTCTAATCCCAATGTGTGCAAACAAGCAGCTATAAAGAGACTATTTTATGATGTTTCACTATGTGCCACTCTGAACTATTGATCAGTGGTTTATGGTAGCATAATAAAATCCATGGATCTTGAATGTGTGTAGCGAACAGCTCGCTATCCAGAGCCACCTCCCTAGGTTTGGATCTCAGGTAGTTGCTGTGTGGTTACTTTTCATCTCAAGCCTCATCAGCGGCATGCTGAGTATTAAAAGGCATTTGCCCTTTCAGTGCTTGATTCTTTATCTTGTTTTTAAAATTTAATTAGCATGTTAGTTCAGAGTTCTGAATATTCTACAGGATGCAGGTGTTATATAATTTTTTATTATTATTAGGTAATAACACTGATGCAGTTGAAAACCGGAATGGTACAGCAAGTGCCCTCTTGCACATAGATGAATCTCCTGGTCTTGGGAGATTAGCAAAACAAAAACCAAAGAAAAGGCGGAGGCTGGAATCTAGACAATACCAAACAGGTAAATACTAATTTACCCATTGAAGTGTGATAATTGCTTGTCAAGACAAAAAAATTTGAAATGCATTCCCCCCCCCCCCCAATGGATGGATTTTAAAAAATTGAGAAAGCATAGTTGATGCATTCATATTTTTGTTTTGCCGTATTTAACCTGTATTGCTCTCAAAAATTCTGCTTTCCACCATGTTTTGAAAAAATTCAGATTGAGAAGATCCTGGCTTTAAAGGTCAGCTCTGACAGAAACAATTTTTTTAATAGTAGGAGTGAAAGATAAGGAATCATTTTTGCATATAAGAGTATTCTTGGTACAGGCTGGAGCAGTTTAATATACCATTCTGAATACAGTGTTACAAAATATGCTTTTTGTCAGGTGGGGTTATAAGAATGGAGCAGCTGGAGGGACAGATCAATAGGCACCAAGTCAGCTTCCCCAGTGGCAGACCCTGCACCACTTCAACAGGGTATAATGACACAGAGTCCACCATTTTATCCAGGGGAACTGATCTCTGCCATCTGGAGAACAGTTAAGAACATAAGAGAAGCCAATGTTGGATCAGGCCAATGGCGTATCCAGTCCAACACTCTGTCACACAGTGGCCAAAAATACCAGATGCCATCAGGAGGTCCAGCAGTAGGGCCAGGACACTAGGAGCCCTCCCACTGTTGACCCCCACAAGCACTAAGAATACAGAGCATCACTTGCCTCGGATTCTGTAGCTATACCTTGTGGCTAATAGCCACCGATGGACCTCTGCTCCATAAGCTTATCTAATTCCCTCTTGAAGCTGTCCATGCTTGTAGCTGCCACCACCTCCTGTGGCAGTGAATTCCATGTGTTAATCACTCTTTGGGTGAAGAAGTACTTCCTTTTATCTGTTCTAACCCGACCGCTCAGCAATTTCATGGAGTGCCCACGAGTTCTTGTATTGTGAGAAAGGGAGAAAAGTACCTCTTTCTTTACCTGCTCTATCCCATGCATAATCTTATAAACCTCAGTCATGTCACCCCTCAGCCATCGTTTCTGCAAGCTAAGGAGCCCCAAGCGCTTTAACCTTTCAAATGTGACATTTGTTTTCAGATATTTTCAGATACCAAAGAGCTGCAACAGCACACTCTGACCAAGAGGTAGCAAAGGAAAGGCAAGAGTGGGGGAGGCGTCTAAGGAACCATTTTTCTTTCACAGCTACTGGCCCTGCCTGCAGATAGTAAGAAGAGGATACATCTGTACATTGTGCTCATATTGCCAGCACAGGCTTGTTATAGGTGTGGTTGTTACTAGAGAAATGAGCACTGCTTTCGTGTCAGCTCCAGGCATTGTGCAATGCACATGATGCTTGCTTGGAAGGAGGGGGTTGCTGGTATGGCACTGCCCTTTGCTGATGCAGCTCTTATGGTTAAAGCATTTCATCAGACTTTTTATTTGATATGTATTTTATGCATGTACTGGCTTGCTTCCTATATTAGCTATTATAGCACTGCACATTAACACGATTCCCTTCTTAAGGTCTCTGCTTGAACTACAAGAATAGCTAATATTACTTTAGATTACCTTTCATTTTTATTTTGTTGCATTTCTGATAGTTTGCTCTCTTATCTGAGACATAAAAAACAGAAGAGTACATCATTCTACTAAAGACATCTTTCATTTTAAAATTAAAATATTAGAAATTCCTGCACTGGTGGCCTTGTTACATTATTTGGGGTATGCATTTGGAAACTGTTACCTAAAATATATCAAAACGAGTAATTCCTTTAAAAGATTGCTTTGAGAGACCATGGTAGAACTACTAATATGGCATGCTGTTCCTTTCTACATGTATAATTTTATCTAGTTAGCTCTTGATACTAATTAAGTGCTGCAGTGCTGAATTATTTTGATTTTATAGGAATAAAGCTGAAAGCCAGTTTGGTGTAGTGGTTAAGTGTGCGGACTCTAATCTGGGAGAACCGGGTTTGATTCCCCACTCCTCCACATGCACCTGCTGATGTGACCTTGGGTCAGTCACAAGCTCTGGCACAGCTGTCCTTGAAAAAGAGCAGTTTGTGTCAGAGTTCTCTCAGCCCCACCCACCTCACAGGGTGTCTGTTGTGGGGAGGGGGAGGGAAAGGAGTTTGTAAGCCGCTCTGAGACTCCCAAGTGAAGGGCGGGGTATAAATCCAATCTCCTCTTCTTCTTCATATTATTGCTGTGAATATAACATAACTGATTCAGCACTGGAAGGGCACAAATGTTAAGGGTATTTAATTTCTTTCTACTGATTTCAGTGTGTTTTAGCATACTCTTAATTTTCTCACAGAAAGGAATGGGATTTTGATGTGCATAACTTGTACTTTCCCATGGCTTGTAGCACACAAATTAGAAGACATCTGTTGAATTTCTTGGGTGCCATGTTCATGATCCTCTGTTTGCTTTTATTCTGCAGCAATAATAATTGGGCCTGATGGGCATCCTTTGACAGTCTACCCCTGTATGATTTGTGGCAAGAAGTTTAAATCCAGGGGCTTCTTGAAAAGGCACATGAAAAATCACCCTGAGCACCTTCTTGCCAAGAAAAAATACCGATGCACTGACTGTGATTACACTACAAATAAAAAGTTAAGTTTGCATAACCATCTGGAGAGCCACAAGCTTACCAACAAAACTGAGAAGTTAATTGAATGTGATGAATGTGGGAAAAGTTTCTCTCATGCAGGAGCTTTGTTTACTCACAAAATAATGCACAGGGACAAGGCAGCAAATAAAATGTACAAGTGCAAATTTTGTGAGTATGAGACAGCAGAGCAGGGATTACTGAATCGTCATCTTCTGGCTGTACACAGCAAGAACTTTCCTCATATTTGCGTGGAATGTGGCAAAGGATTTCGGCATCCATCAGAGCTCAAGAAACACATGCGAATCCACACTGGTGAAAAACCCTACCAGTGCCAGTACTGCGAGTACAGGTCTGCTGACTCTTCCAACCTGAAAACTCATGTAAAGACTAGGCACAGTAAGGAAATGCCTTTCAAATGTGACATTTGTTTTCAGATATTTTCAGATACCAAAGAGCTGCAACAGCACATCATTATGCATCAAGAAAGCAAAACGCATCAATGTCTGCACTGTGACCACAAAAGCTCAAACTCAAGTGACTTAAAACGGCACATAATTTCCGTTCATACAAAAGAGTACCCCCATAAGTGTGACATGTGTGACAAAGGCTTTCATAGGCCATCAGAACTGAAAAAACATGTTGCTGTGCACAAAGGCAAAAAATTGCACCAGTGCAGACATTGTGACTTTAAGATTGCAGATCCGTTTGTGCTAAGCCGCCATATTCTCTCAGTTCACACAAAAGATCTTCCGTTCAGATGCAAGAGATGTAAGAAGGGGTTCAAGCTACAAATAGAACTCAAAAAACACATGAAAACACACAGTGGTAGAAAAGTTTATCAGTGTGAGTACTGTGAGTATAGCACTACAGACGCCTCAGGTTTCAAACGGCATGTTATTTCCATTCATACAAAAGACTATCCCCATCGTTGTGACTTCTGTAAGAAAGGTTTCCGAAGACCCTCAGAGAAAAACCAACACATTCTGAGACACCATAAAGATGTTGGCTTGCCATGAGGACTCCTCCAGATGTTATAAATTTGGGGATGGTGTGTAAAATGTTGCTCTCTAGACAGTCGTATTTTAAAGAGGATCACACAAACACAATACTGTGCATTTGATTTTAGTGCTGTATACAGATAGGATTATTGCTTCTAGTTGACTTTTATACATTTTGTTCATTAGTGTGTTCTGAATTCTCTTCTGTTTGTTTAATAAAAGAGGAAGGATGGCAACAATAAAGTTGCATTGAATAAAGTAAACCCTGTCTCATACTGCATTTTTCAACCATATTCTCTGAAATATTTACCTTACTGACGTGGTTCATAGTGGCAATACTAATTCAGTTTTGTCATGGGTTAAAAAGGTTTTTAATTTGCTCTTAATAAAGATGTCATAGATGTGCATAAAATAATCTGGGAGAAATTAATGTCAAGAGACAGCATTGTATCATAGGACCCATTTAACTATCTCATTTAAAGAACGTGTGACATGTTAATATTCATTTGAGTAGTTATGCACCATAACAGTACCACTTTCCATTATTTGAGGTTATTTTACATAGTATTTAATATTTCCACAATGAGTAAGGAATTGGTTGCCGGGAGCATTCTCTTTCAATAGGTGTGAATTTTAAAGGAAAACTTGAGGCACTTACTCTCTAAGTATTAATTGTATGCTTCTCTGCCTTTGGTTCTGTGTTAAAAATGTATTTGCATTTTGAAACTTGTTACCGACTCGTTGTAGATAGACATTTGTTTCAGTTGTTGACAGGATAGATTGCCCAGTTGACTGTTGCTAAGTTTATCCCAAATTAAATGCATTTTTACAAGATTCTGTGAAACATTTTGAAATATTTGGTAAATTGCTTTTTAAACTATCCACCAACAGTCTTAGATAATTTTTAATTATATGCTATTTAGAAGGACAACGTCAGATGGGCAAGTAAAGAATAGAAGCAGATGTGTTTTCATGAAGCCTTTGTTTTCCTGCAGCTTTTCTTATGTTACCACTATTACTTTTTTAGGAATACCAAATGTCTCTTAACAGAATAATTTGTAAGGAGTGAGCAGTTCTTCAAACCTGTAATTTATCAAGCATTTGCCCCATTCTTCTTGCTATCAGTTATACACTTCTAGAAGGATGTTTCAGTTTCAGTTACCACTTGAGCTATTGCCTGAAAGCTACTGAGGCAAAGCTGCAGCAGTCTCTTTCATGGCATGGAAGTAGTCCATTAATGTACAAAATTCAAAATTTGACTTCCAGGGCACATTGTAATGGATTTCAACTTTCATGTGGTGTTTTGTATATTTGCATTTTTCATCTCTGCTTTGGTGCACTGGTCAAGTATAATGAAAGTGAGATGCAAGATCCAAAAGTGCAGTTTTCACACCATCGCTTCCTCACTTTTCATGTCATAAGAAACACCATTTCCCCCAATAAATCAGCTGTCATGTCCTATGCTACAAGGCCAGGTGATACAGTATGTCCATTCCTTCTAATATGCCAGTATTTCCTAGCTGGTTAATTAGAAAAATAGAAAAAGTAGTTCAGATAGCCATATGTAAACCTAACATGAATGTCTAAATTTGTGCAAAGTGAAAGCTTTCTCTGCTATGCCATATTTATGTGAAACAGTTTCTGAGCTTTCAGCATGTATGGTGCATGTTCATAAAACTGGAAAAGTTGGAGAAATCTAAGATACATCATGCTCAAGACCTTTGATCCAGCAGTAGCAATGTGCATTGGGGCATGGAGCATTTCTTGATATTGTAGTAAATTAAGCAGCTCCCATGGAGTTGTATAGAGCCCTCCAAATGTTTGGTATTGTGGTGACTGTGTGGTTAGATTGAGGCCTTAAAAGCTTGCTCCTTCAAGCACTTGCACTCTCTGATGCAGGAGTTCTCAAGATCCAGCCATTAGCTGATGAAATATGTGTGCCTCTTGTTTTCAATGAAGTTTTGCCCAAATTTCTGAATGTCATCTGCTCTCAAATAATTTAAAATCTATTAAAATCTTTTAGGTCTGAAATCCCCAGATTCTTGCTCAAAAGTATTACCTATTTTTAAAAATTGTTTTCTTGAGTAATTACAATTAAGAACACAAAAACTTGACAATTTCCTTTCCCTTCAGTATCGCCTGCAATCATAAACATTGTTTTGGAGCATAATTTTTGAAACTTAACAAAAAAATTAAGAGTTTAGTCCAGTGGATTTTGTACAATGTGTCTGTATAAAGAGCAAATAAAAAGTGTAGTTATTGTTAATGTACTGACATTTGTTACAGGCTATTTTTAATTAGCCAATGCGATAAAATTGATGTTTCAGTTCCATGTTTTAAATGGTACTTTTAAAAAAAGGACATAATATAAATAATTGTTCTGTTAAAATGTCTATTAAATACTATGTCCCACCCTCTGTACACTTTGTAAAAATGAAAAAGAGAACAAATTCCATAAGACTCATATATAGGGATGTGTGACATTGTAATGTGTACTTGATAATGTGAAAAATAAAAATCAGACTATTTTCCTGTTAATGAATATTTATTTGATTCCAGCTACTGTTTTACGTATTTTGGCTAAAAAGTTACTATTTTCAGCAATAGTTAACTTATTAGTCTAATAGCAATTTATTTTCCTGGGTTAACAGAGATAACAGAGACTGAAAGTAACATATTCTGTAAATAATCATGTACTGTATAAAGATGTTGACACTGACCCTACAAACAAACTGTGATAGGATCCCACGAGTTCCTTTTCCCATGGGTGATGAGTTGTATTTTATGATATTGCAGAAATTTACATGACTCTAAGAGTGAGCTATAGAGTATAGACTATAGCCTGGGATGCTCAGATTTCGAAAACATGTTGCTGTTAGTAAAAATGTAACTTAGTGAAATCTTAAAAATCAGAAGCATGACAGAGATCTTAGTTTGTCAAGTATAGGTCAACACTTCATTTCTTTGAATTTATGCTTCACTACATAACTTGACCCTGGGCTGCAGTGGCTCAAGTGGTTAAAACACTGAACTGCGGACCGGAAGGTTGGTAGTTCAGCAGTTCGAGACCCAAGTGCCGCATGATGGAGTGAGCGCCCAGCTCCTACCAACCTAGCAGTTCAAAAGCAAGAAATTGCAAGTAGATAAATAGGTACCACTTCAGTGGGAAGGTAACAGCGTTCCGTGCACCTCGGTGTCTAGTCATGCCGACCACATGACCACGGAAACCTCTTTGGACAGCGCTGGCTCTTCAGCTTGGAAACGGAGATGAGCACTGCATCCGTAAAGTCGGATTCGACTGTCTTTCAAGCAAGGGAAACCTTTACCTTACATAACTTGAAAGGGCTCAGAGCCATGTACAAATACAACATAAATACAACATAATATCTACAAATGACATCCCATTTAAAAACTACTGAACAGCCCCTGCACTAAAATATAAGAACAGATCAGTTATAGTAATGGGAATCGTCCAGAAGACTAGGTGTTTGGAATGACCCCAGGATTATAAATATTCAGCATGTTTATGTTGGCCTTATTTGGTATATGTTGGCCTTATTTTTGTCTCCTTAGAAATGTGTTTGGGGGTGGTGCTATGATACCACCTCCTTAAAACCACAATGATTTACTGATCAGTAAAGTCAAAGAATATCTGCTCTCACAGCTCCAAGGCCAGCCAAAGTTATTTGATGGGGTTTACTCCCAGGGAAATGTTCTTCGGATTATACTGTAAAAGTAGCATGAGTTTTGCACTTAAAAAATAATCTGCACCATGAACCCATTTTCCTAGTCACAGAAAAGGCAGTGGTGCACCCCCTTCTGAAAAAGCCATCTCTGGATCCCACCGAATTGGCCAACTATTGGTCGGTTTCCAACTTGCCCTATTTGGGCAAGATAATAGAGAGGGCAGTGGCAACTCAGTTACAGGGCTTTCTGGATGACGCTTCCATTGTAAATCCCTTCCAGTCCGGGGAGGCTCCAAATTTTCAGGGTGGCTTCGGGAGAATCTGAATCGGCCCCCAGCAGCCCGAAAGGGACCCGAATGGGCTGTTTTCGGGGGTGCATTCGGTTCAGATGAACCAAATGCAGATCCCTAGTTGTCACCAGTATGCAGATGACACCCAGCTCTATCTGTTGTTGGACAGCCAGTCCGACTCCAAACCGGAAGACCTTGGCTGAGCGTTAGAGGCTGTGGCTGGTTGGCTTAGGCTGAGCAGGCTGAAATTGAATCTGATGAAGACAGAGGTCCTGTGCCTGAGCTGCGGCGGTCCGAGGGTAGGGATCCCACTCCCAACCTTCAATGGGGGGCACCATTGGTACCTGCGCCGGAGGTTAGGAGTCTGGGAGTGCTCCTGGATGCCTCTCTAACAATGGAGGCCCAGATAGCAGCCACTACCAAGTCGGTCTTTTACCACCTCCAGCTGATTAGACAGTTGGTTCCCTTCCTTGAATGCTACAACCTGCAACAGTGATCCACGTGATGGTCACCTCAAGATTGGATTACTGTAATGCCTTCTACATGGGGCTGCCCTTGTCACAAATCCAGAAGCTGCAACTGGTGCAAAATGCCACGGTCAGGCTGTTGATGAGACTTCCTACTCGAGAGCATATCCAGCCTGTGCTACAGGCATTGCACTGACTGCCTATAGCTTACCGGATCCACTTCAAGGTGCTGGTTCTTACCTTTAAAGCCCTTTATGGCCTGGGACCTGCATACCTGAAGGACCGCCTTTACCCATATGTACCCCAGAGAGCGCTGTGATCAGGGATCCAGAGCCGGCTGGTCCTCCCAAGTATTAAGGAGGCCAGGCTTTCAAGAATGGTTGGAGAAGATGTTGGACCATGCAGCAATCGCTAAACTTACTGCATTGGTTAGGGAAAAGACAGTTTGTTTATTACAGATTGAAAACCCCTTATAGATTTTTGCAGGAAAAAGACAATAATCACTTGATGATTTGTGGGTTTGATGATTAAGATACAAAAAAGAGAGAGTTCTATATATATACAGCAAAGAAAAACTTTGTAATCAAACATATTTGTTGTAGAGAAAATCAGAAGCCTTCTATTTTATGCATGTTTTTTCTTTTCT